TGTTTGTTATCACGAATTATATAGTGTTCTCAGTGTACTTTATAAAGTACAGGCTAAGACAATCCTTGTCCTTATTTTTATACTCAGAACTGTGTGATACTTACTTGAGAGTATAAACGTCTGTGCATATAAATAAAGCTTCATCCTCCAGTATTTTAATGAAGATTTCAGCTACTTGATACTTAAATTTTAAAAAAATATATCAGTTAATGCTCTCCAATTGATCTGAAAAATAACCATAGCAGGTAGCAGAAATAATTTAGAGATCAGTATTGTCTGGAAACTCGCTTGTCATTCTTCCGAAACCAGTTTGTGACAAAACTAAAACTTTTCACTACTGAATGCCCTGGTCAAGGTGATTTGGGATACGCTTCCAAGATAGCATCGTGGTCCGGCCTCCTCTAACGGACGAGGAGGAGCACAGACAAATCCCTGCCAGCAGAGCAGAGGGCCTCCCCCTGAAGACTGAGCAGAACGCCTTCGCAGAACCAATGAAGAGTAGATTTCAATGGGATTTATAAAATACCAGAAATCTGGCAGGCCTGATGAGGGTGGCATGTGAGTGCTGTCATCACCAAGATCCCCAACTGGGCTTCCTAAACATGTGTAGCTGTACAAGCAAGAGCAATGCTTTGTTTGCCTCTGGCTGCTTCATGAGACCTTTCCTGCAATTAACTGCATTATTCATATATTCACGTGTTTGTTTCACCTTGATCTGCTGGCAGTAGCTACATGTATGTGATATCTAGAGAGCCTTCATGGGTATTTGTAAGATTATTTTTTCCCCAGGTGTTTTTAAGAAGGGTCAGAATAGAAGAAAAATTGATGAGGGGAAGGTTAGCAGTGCCTGTAGAAAAAGATAGCTAGAAGGCAGGGCTTAAGTGTACAAGATCCTTTGTCAAGAAGAGATTAACAAGCGTTTTGGCTATTTGATTTCCTGTGAAAGGGAGGAATCCTGTACAAAAAGAGGGTAGACAAAAACAAATTGTTCTTAGAATTTAGAGCATTGCTACTGAATGAAAATTACTCTGCATACTGGGCTAGAATTCTGCTGGATAACCTTTTGGTAAGACTTCTACCTGTTCAGCTCATCCCCACATAATGTGATCATATGCATATGTTCCCGGCATAGTCCTTTATTAGAAAAGGCAGCATTGCATTATCACCCTATTGAAAGCGAGACCAGATACACCTGGATATACCTGGAAGAACATCCCCGTGTTCAGAAGCTGCAGAGATTTTGCACAACCTGAATTTTGAGTTTGTTGATTTTGAACTTTCACTCATGCATGCGTGAAGGTGTGCATGCTCGCACCTGCACACATGCAGTTGCTGTGCATCATCAGCTACTTGTGCATGCAGGTGTTTAAATGTGTTGCTCGAAAGAAAGGGAGGTGAGGCTGTATGTGTGGAAACTCTGTTTCCTACTCATGCAAGTGATTGAATCTGTCATCTCTACATGCAGGTGGTGATGCACAGTACTCCCCCCACCCCAAAAGCCCTAGCCATCCACGTCATGACCCATAGACCTACCAAACTCTTTCTGCCTCTTTCAGAGGCAGTGTTTGGACAAGGTGCCAGAAGGAAATGAGAAAGGATTAAAGGGGAAGTTTAACTCAGTCTTCCTTCTCTCCTGTGGGTTGTTTTTTTTTTCCTTGTCTTCTGTTAATATTTTTAGTGCACTGAAAACTCTTTTGCACAAAGGCCTACTTTTAGGCCTTCATTTAGCTCCTGCAGATACAAGTTGTGCAGCAATATTTCTGATAACAGTGTTTGATGTGGTTGCGATGGGCTAAGCATAAAGGTATGGCAGTTTTTATAGGCAAGGGAAAGCAATGTTTATAGGTAAAGGTAATCTCTCTTCTAAGACCAATCAGTATAGTTGGAAGAAGTAGACAAGCTTTCAAGCACAAAAGCTGCAAGGCACAGAAAAGGCTTTTCTTCTTTTTTGCAACTAAACTAGTTGATCTGGTAGGAGGAAAGTATTGGAAATACTGAAAGAGATTTTTTTCAATGGGACTATAGGCCTGAGGGTGTATTGGAAGAAGAAGGTGTGTTGCTGATGAGGAAGGTAAGACCAGAAATGTAGTGCAAAGTGCAAAGAGGCAAACCAAAGGGGGAAAATGGCAGAGAAAACCTAAAATGCTTCTCTTGTGTAATAATTTCTGGAAGACCCATTTGAAGAACGTATTGTAGCTGTAAGAATTTCTGATAGGTTCCTACAAAGAGGCCACTTTGTTTACCACCATGTAGAGTGCAATTGCTTCAGTGTGGATGGAAACATAGAATGCAGTGTAGAAAAGACGTGGAGAGACCTTCATCAGGTTATTTTGTGGGTGGGAATGGACTCCGAGGTTTCAGCCTAGGATTTTATCATCCATTAGCTTTCCACACTTGCAACGACGTAACAGAAAAAGAAGGAAAAAATGGAAATGGTGAGGCTAGAAGGTCATTCTTGCTTACAAGCAATCAGGTTGTTAAGATCCTACATCACCCTAACACTATAACACTTAGTCAGTCCAGGAGAAGGAGATTGAAGCAGACATGCTAATTTCATTAAGTAAGTATGGCACTCATCACACTTAACAGCCTTTTGCTTAAGAACCCATGATGTCAATTGTGGAAATTATGCCATACTTAGTTTGTGACTTTTTAGCTCATGCTCCATAATTTTCTTCCTGAACACGCAACATAAAGAACACGGAGAGAAGCCTTACTTTCAGATATCAGAGGTACCATAGCATGGATAATATCTAGCTCTTTTAATCCGCAGTGTTCATCCTGTCCCACAGTGTCCTGCAGTTTTGAAACCTGCAAACACTTTTCTTGTCATTCAGTTCATTGGTGAGGATGGATGTTCTTTGTACCACTGGATACCTGCAGTGGTGATTTCTTGTATTTTTACAAATGCCTTTTGTGCCAGGTACACACTGCCAGCCCTCGACTTTGTCTTTTGGTAGCAATGGGATTGGGATAAAGACATTTTATTTTGGATACCAAGGCACAGCTGAGTCTTCAGAACGTATCTAAGACCAATTATAGTTAACATCAGGAGATTGCTTTTGGCATATTACTTACTTTTAGATCCTTACATCACTGCCAAAACTGAGGTATGCAGTTTCTGGATTCTTTGGAAAGATATGACTGTGCAGAAAGGAAGAGAAATGAGCCAAGTTCTTGTGTCCCATTTGCCTCACACACACACCCCCCACCCCAACACATCTTTGCAGAATGACAGCTGCATTACATCCTCAGAAACACTTGAGTTGACCTGATAAAGACCAAATGGAAGGCAAAGTTATATTTGTACTTCTCTGGGACTTTCCCAGCATTGATTACTGATTCTCTCATCCCTCTGGCACTTCTGAGCAGTGGTAGTCCCCTTGCTGCTGCCAGACTCTCTGTAAACAGTTGTTCAAACACTTTGAAGGTTGCCTCATAAAAAGGAGTCCCAATGTTCAATGTTTGAGTGCCCTCAGTTTCTACTGGAGAGCTTGGCATCACCTACTAGGGGCACTTAGTGATTTTCTGGACTTGGACCAACATCTTATGTCTTTTTGCTAAATGTGTTGATCAGGAAGAAGGCAAAGAGCTTGTCATGCTGCTGTTCTTCTCATAAGACAAATGTTATTGTGGGAGCTGCACTGTTGGCCTTTGAGAGGTCCAGCACTCCCTTGAAATAAACAGGGAGACTCTACATGTTGGACAGAATCTGGCCTTTTCAAGCCTGCTTTTCTGTTTAATTATGAAAAGCCTAATTTTATCATGATGACATAATTTCACACCTCTTTTGAAATATTTTTCTTTACATATATTATGCAGTTTCACCATTGTTTTATTCCAGCAGTGTTTGCTAGATGTCAGGTTGGTCTGGGCTGAGAAACTAGGAGGAAACAATGAGACATTGTCAGTTACTCATTTGGAGATGGACTTGGATGGTTAAAGAGAGGAAGAACCCAAAACAATATATGAAGTCGCACGGCTGGCATGCTGTGTTAAAAAGTTAAAAAGTGATGTTATCATGTGGTATCTTGATTGGAGTTGACTTAATGTTGCATGGCATTCCAGCTTCCTGCATCACAAAACTATCAACATGGTAATAACCAGGAAAGCAGGAACCCTGTTAGCAGCCAAAAGTCCGGTTCTTTCCGTCCTAGAGTTCGAGTAAATATTATTAGGCTATGCTTGTATGTAGGAAGGCACTTGATGAATTGTTTAGATAGGAGGAAGACTGTGGGCACTTGAAATTCTAGGCATGCAGTGTGGTGGGTTTCTTATGTACAGGTATTTTTTTATTGCATGCTCAGTAGCAAGCTTTGCTGAAACTTTTGACACAAATACAAATACAGCTGGCATCAGAGTTTGGACGGAAGCAGCATCGCCTGTTGCACAAATCCACGTGTGGCCATGATTCAGAGCAGGCTGTCTCTGCATGCCCCCAGGTTACCTGTATGGACAGTAACTTTTTTTCTGTTTAATGTCTGACTAGTACGTGAAGTCAGAGAGAAGTCTGGAAGCATGAATGAGGCAATACCATACAGATTAGTTATGGGTGAACAATATAATATCTTCAGTGTACAGACTACATTGTACAGGCTTTACTTTAGCATCTGATATTATGCTCTAACCAGTGTAAGTATTACTGAAGAAGGTAAAATAGCTTCTTTTGATGTTCCAGTTACTATGATCGCTTGACCACCTGTGTTGCAGGACAAGTTTTCAGGGCAGTCTTTCTGTGTGATTTCTCTTAGGAAGGAATATGTGATGGCATGTTTTGCTTGGGAGCTTAAGCTGATTTCATTAGGGTGTTTTTATATCACCTTCCTCTCCCCATGCACCCTAAGAAAATTCTTTCTGAAAATGTGCCTGAATGTACATCTGCTGGATAGTAGTTTGAGCTGTAATAGTTTCTTCTGCTATTTTATAATGTTGGTGGTCTGTTTTAATAAAGACCAGGTAAATGTTAACCTGTAGGCAATCGTATGTGTTGTTTCTTGCAGGTTCTAAAATCTAAAGAATTATCATCACCAGGACAGCGCTACATTGACAGCAAAGTAGTTAAAACAAGAGCTGAAGGAGAATGGTTGTCTTTTGATGTCACTGAGGCTGTACACGAGTGGCTCCATCACAGAGGTGACAACAAGTGCTCTTTGCCTTCACTCCTGCCCCAGCTGCTCCTCCATTAACTCAGCAGTATTTCAGAGTCATTCCATGTGTAAAAACAAACTTCACTTACTTTTATGTTTTGCAGACAGGAACCTTGGATTTAAGATAAGCTTACATTGTCCGTGCTGCACCTTCGTGCCTTCCAATAATTACATCATCCCAAATAAAAGTGAGGAGCTTGAAGCAAGATTTGCAGGTAACAAAAGAAAAAAAACTTTTTAAAATGTTGTAGTACTTACTAATTGAGGAGGGAAACAAAGAGCCATTATTGCCTCTCTAAATGGCATTCAGCTGAATGAAAACTTGCTCATTTGAGAATCTTGATGTCCTTCAGTGTCTGCGTTACAGTTTGCAACATGCACACCGGATATAGATAGTTTTGGATGTAGGGAAGACTGCACAGTAAACCACCCACTGTTGGATAGTCATGAGAAAACTTGCTGCATATTTTCAAAATAAACCCTTTGACTGCTGTCCATCCTAGCACTCTTAATGGTTCAGGCTTAGTAGAGAAGGCTACTGCTGGAAAGTAGAATTAGGATGGTGTTTGGCACGCGTGTAAGCTTCTTGCAGTAGATATGTGTGTGAGCATGGAGCGCCTTATGAGTGTTAAACAATACTTGTGGCAAATTTCCGAAGTATAGGTAAGGCAGCAGTTGGCTGCTTTGCTTACAGAAGCACCTTCCTTTGTCCTCACTGAGTATAGAAGGTACCCGTCTTTGTAAGTACCTGCACACATACTTCCAGCTCTTCAGGTGCACTAAATATTTCCAGCTACTCTTTTTTTTTTTTTTCCTCTTTTTCTGGTCATATAAGTAATATTTTAAATTACTTGGAGAAATGGCATCGGTCACTTTGGGAAGAGCTGAACAGTAGGTCCCAGACTTGTATAAATGTCCTACAGTGTTTTACTGCAAGTGCGTTATGGATTGAAGAAACAGCAATGGTGTGCGTGTCTATGTGCTCCTACTTCCAGCAGTGGAAGTCTGATTCTCAGGTGAAGTCAACAGAACTACATTAGTTAACGTTGATTATTTCTATATATCTACATTGGCACATAGAATTTATTTTAACGTATTTGTACATTAGTTACAGAAAGTGTTTTTTATGCTGACAGCTTGTTAAAAACTTAAAGATTGGATTGAGTGGGCATTAAAAAATAAACAACAGTGTGTAGTTAGGGTTATGGATATATGTGCTTCTTATGGACAGCAGACAAGGTGATATAGAGTAAATATATCAAGGTCACATAAGCTCCCTTGTATTTTCAAGCCATTAAAGTTTCAGTTTCAAAAAGGGAAATGCTATTTAATTGACCGTGCTATAGTTATCATCCACCAATATATATAAAACTATGGCTATATTAGAACCAACCCAAATTTTGTTTATACAGTTCTCATTTATTAACGTATATCATGATTTGGTTCATTTGTTTTCCAGGGATTTGGCTATATTCCCTGTCAAGTATTAACTTTTTCTAGCCATTGTTTCAGTGCGTTGGAATTTTTTCTCTAAGTAAATACATGTACTGTACATGTGATTAAAGCCATTGTGTGTATTTAAAAAATTGTTAGTATGATATTTGGTCACTGTAATTGCAAATGTTACAAAAAGAAAAGTGTATCTTTTTCTGTTTAGATAGTATTATCTGGTTCAGGAGGTTAATTTTCAAAAGAGTCTTAGCAACAGGTATAACATGAGCTGTTTGGACTCCTCAGAAAGGTTAATACTTTGAGTCTTTTGCCTGTGCTATTGCCATGGTAAGAAGCTAGTAAGGCAGTTAGTGTTTCAAGAGAAAATACAAAATGTGAGGCCATTGGTTGCCACTTCAAGAAGAAGTATTTTGATCAATGTCCTTGCCATGCCCATACAAAAGAAGGGGCTAGAGTAACTGATGTTCTGGAAAAAATCAGCAGTTTTAAATAAACTGGCAATGGGAGACAGAGAATTTACAAGCATTAGAAAGAGGTAAATGGGATGGGAATAATCAGTGGGAAATGCAGGTGAAGTATCCAGAGTGGCTTTAGTGGTGTTACAAGGTTTTAAAAGGTACACAGCTGTTAAAAGATGGGAATACTGCCCTAAGTGAAGTGACAAAAGCATCACTGCTTGGGGCACTTGAAACGAAGCAATGCAGATGCAGTGACTGAAGTAATCTTTTCTGTTCCTCGTTTCAACAGTTCTGGTAAATGTGCTGAAATGCCATTAAATGGCTGTGAACGTGGGAGGGCTGATACAATAGATAACATGAGAACTGTGAATATCTTAGGGATCTTGGGTTGAAATCTGCCCCCACTTCCCCAGTAAACATGCCCAGCTGACACCATCATTGCCCAGTTTCTGAGAGAATTTTTTTAAAGAGATGGTTTATTTAATTTGTGAAGAAAAAGCAACACAATGTTTATCACCAAAATGTATTTTTTGAAGGTATTGATGACTACACATATTCCAGTGGTGATGTGAAAGCTTTAAAGTCCAATAGGAAAAAATACAGTGGGAAGACCCCACATCTTCTGCTAATGTTATTACCCTCCTACAGACTTGAGTCGCAACAGCCCAGTCGGCGGAAGAAGCGTGCTCTAGATGCTGCCTATTGTTTTAGGTAACTATGCATCCATATTCAGTGTACTTACATAATAGTACCAGCCTGTGAGGTGTAATGCAGTTGCTTATCATGTTTCTTTACGGTTGGCATTTATACAGAGCGTGGGCCCTCATTCGCAGACCCACAGGGTCTGTGTGCAGCACATACCTGCCCAGTGGTCTCCAATCCCACAGAGACAGTGGCAGATGAGGAAGGTTGTGGCCTCAGAATGCAGAAGCTGGGTTCCATCTGGGATGATTCCCAGACCCATCAGCCCCATAATTACAGCCAAATTATCACCTCCACTGTGCTCACCTACTCAGAGAGGCCACTCAGTAGGACCTGGAGAAAAATACTTCCTAGTCCTCCAGGGAAACCATTAGCTTTGTCTGTATAAGCAAGTCCTGCCATGTCTGTCATGATTTCACTTACAGTATAAGCTACTGTTGATGTAATTTGGTTGTGAATTTTTGGGACTCGGATTTGCCTGCCTGTAAAGCATCATTCAGGGAGCAATTTTTATTCCCTGTGTTGTCTTTGTTATGACCAATGTGTTTGTCTGTATTTTATTTCCCAGGAATGTGCAGGATAATTGCTGTCTGCGTCCACTTTATATTGACTTCAAGAGGGATCTTGGCTGGAAATGGATTCATGAACCTAAAGGATATCATGCTAATTTCTGTGCAGGAGCCTGCCCATATTTGTGGAGCTCAGATACTCAGCACAGCAGAGTAAGTAATGATTTTGCTAATTTTCAGCTTCTGTTTTATAACTGCAGGGTGAAATATGTTTCTAGGACTGACACCAGCACCAATGCCCAAAGCTTGTATTTATTATGTCAATAAGTAGGGATGATGAAGTGTGGCCCTATAGAGGGACTCGCACATGGCCTCAGGCTATTGTTGAAGCAGTAGGAATGTATTGGCCCAGGTATTTTTTTTAATGTGTTCATCGATACGACATATGGATGGATTGAATGCTTTTTGTGAGTATGAGCTCAGTGTAGCTTTGGGAAGCTGCCTGGGAAGGGACCTTTCCTTATAGAGCATGAGTGAAAGATGGCACAATGAATTTCATCAGCAAAGGCACTGAGGGAGGCACTATCAGAGTGACAAAAGGGCTGAGTTGTGCCACCTGATTATCACCTACTTTTATGACCTGCCATTTTTCATTGTTACTGATATGCTACCATGCTGAATTTCATTAAAATGTACTGATAGATGTGCTTCTTTTACTTCATACTTTTACTGTATTCATACTTGTACTTTGCAAATTTATATGCGAAGGAGGAACCTTGTGTCTGGGATGCCAAAGAACCAAGAGTCGTCTGAGATGGGACTTTTTATTTTAGGGATTAGATGTGGTATTTTAGCCAACTGCCTTAGGATGACTAGTATTCTGCTGTGAAATGCTTATTTCTCTCAGCTGTCAATAAGGATGTCTAGACAGTAAATGCAAGAGGCAGGCATTTGCATCGCAGTTGTCATAAAGTAAGAATTTCACCCTCAGGTCCATACTGAGAATGATGTCTCTCCTTTTTCAAGCCGTCTTTAAAATACCAGCTCAATGTCAGCCAGCAGGGAGAACTCTTGATGTCCAAGGGGCAGCTTGCTTTCCCTTAGGTCTGTAAAGCTATGATAGCATGTTCTCCCTGAACTTACAGACCCAGGTATAGATATTCTTTGCAGCTGTCACTGGCTGTGGCATTGTACTGTTAGCAATGTCAGCAGGCAGAGGTATAAATAAGGTAAGTATGTTTCCATGCTGGTGTGGAGTAGTAGTGTACACATTTTGGAGCAGCACTTGTTTTTAAAGGAAAGAGGAAGAATAACTGTCATGGTCACAAATATGTGGTTTGGATAGTTGCCCAAGGAGTCAGAAGTTGCTTAATAAAGTAGTTAGTGTTGCTGTCCTGAACAGATCTTCTGTCTCTCTGAGCTGCAAATGTTGTGTTGGAGTTCTAGGAAAAGGTCACTCGGTGTTTGGCTAACACATTAATGGCATCCTCAGAAATACCTATGCATCATCAGCGGGTAACCCTACATACTTCCCTTGCAGAGAACCGTGCATATGAATCCAACGTGACATAAAGCACCAGCGCTACTAACTTCACCGCAGCTGATTCTCAACAGGAGTAACTGCAGCTTGAGTGCTCGTGCTTGCAGGGTGGCATTAATGGACTTAGTAAAATGTAGCTGGAGAGGAAAAGCAGAGGAGCACTTATGCTCTGAAAGGCTCTCTTCTCCCTTTGGTGCACTTGTAAAGTCAAAATCCTATAACAGCAAATGGCAATCTGAAGACACAGATAAAAACTTTTCAGTTTCTTCTTTCTGTATCAATGCAGTGCACATGTTGATTCAAAGGGCTACGATTTCAAGGCAGGTTCCGGCATGTACCTGTTTTGGGGTTTAAGACTGTAGGGATAAAACCTTAGGAAACGCAGGCAGATTGTAACACCAGATTGAACTGGAGCAGCATAAAAAATATTAAAATCCAGGAATCTTCATACTGCTTTCAGTGGGCTTTCTCTCAGGCACTGTGGGAGGAAGTGATGCAGAAAGGAATTTGCTCTGCAGTGGCAGGAGGGCAGAGGTAGCTGTCTTAATCTCTCTTTTTTCCTTTCTCCTTCTAGGTACTCAGCTTGTATAACACCATAAATCCAGAAGCTTCTGCCTCTCCATGCTGCGTGTCCCAGGATTTGGAGCCCCTCACCATCCTCTACTACATTGGCAAAACACCCAAAATTGAACAGCTGTCCAACATGATCGTAAAGTCTTGCAAGTGCAGCTAAAGGATACCCCTGAAACAGCATGACATGTGTGTATCAAAAAAAAGCAACAAGGGAAAAAAGAAAGAGCGAGAAGGAAAGAAAGAAAAATGAAAACCCAGGTTCATCAGTGTTAAAAGAAAAAAAAAAAAAGGAAGAAAAAAAGCGGTACTAGTCTGAACTGTTTGAAAGTTTGTTTTTTTTTTTAAACTGGCATCTGAAGCAAAACATTGAAGGCCTTTATCCTACATTTCACCTACACATAGTGTGAGATAGACAAGAAGCAAAGTTAAAGAAAAAAAAACCTTTTAAAAAATAAACACTGGAAGAAATTTGTTAGTGTTACTATGTGAAAGGAAAAAAACAGGAAAATCCCATGAAGTGGAGTTGCTGTATCTGTCCCGTGCCTTACTTGATCTCTGTATTGTTACGCAATAGGCATCCTACCCATTCCTCTTAGTTGTAGAGTTAACAGTGCATTATTTATTTGTGTGTAAAAACTATCAAATGAACATTTCCGTATCGCCATTGGAAAAAAGAAAAACAGCCAATGTGGACAAAGTGGAGACCAAATAAGCTGCCAGAAATACATATAAAGCCTAAAGGAACATGAGCTCAAAAGAATCAGAAAAGTAATGGTTAGTTTAGTTCAATGAAAATAGAAATCGGTTATTGCATTATTGAGAAACTGCCTTTAAAATACCTTATTTTTCATGCCAGCTGCCTAGAGAGGCTTCTTGTAAGGTCTCAAACCCTTGTTTTAAATACTGAATAATTTACTAATAAAGGACACTCTGTTTCAGTCTCAAAGACAAGTCTATAAGATTTTTTTTTTTTTTACTGTAAATGATTTAAAATGTCAGTTTAGTAAACCAGTGAAATATTTAACATGTACTGGTCTAATCTTCAGACCTTAATATGTTGCTGTATAGCTATGCTATGGGATTTTTTTGTTCTTTTGGTATATGTAACCATACCTAGAGTATTACAATAGGTGGGTAGTAAAAGCCAGCTTAATTGGAAACATATCTGTAGATCTCTATTTGTAAACTATTAAAAAATTAAGTACTTTGTGTGTAATGTGTAAATTTTCACCATATTTTTGTACTCTGTAATACTGTCAGCTCTCATGAGTTTGAATTTGAATTTGGGGCTCTTTTTGATCACTCAGAATCATGTGTTTCCCTCTAGCTGGCCAGTATGAGTAGAGTCCCTGTATTTTGACTTGCACTACAAATACATGTTTTATAATAATTGCTATACATGTGCTTTGTATATTGTTCATCATTATGACATAAGCTACCTGACTCCATTTGTTTTTCTGTTTTATAAAAAGGATGGATTAAAGCGATCTCCCCCCCCCTCCTCCCCCCCTCCTCGGTTGTCCCCGTTTGTAACACTTGAATCACGATGCGGTTCGGATTCCTACACCTTTATATTTCCTTTCGGCTATAGACATTCAAACAGATGGGCAGGGAGCGAGGTGTTGCAAGAAGAGATGTCCCAGCCTGGATGAGGCGAGGCAAACCTTTGCAGAGAATGACATTCACCACTGTGCAGAAGGCTGGTAGGAAGCGTCTGCCGCGGCGATGCCCCGAATGGGGTGCGAGCGGGATCGGTTTGCGGTCAGAGGCCGTGCGTTGGCCTCACACGCAGCAGGGACTTGCCCCCGCATTTAGTCCATGGGACCGATCCTGCTCCTACTGCAGGTAACAGAGGTTTGCCTTTAACTTCTGCAGCGGCACGGCAGGCCTCTTTAGGCTATTGGCGTGTGTGTGAGGATTAGCAGGATCAGACCCTTGATTTTTGTGAGTTTGCCAATTTTTTTTCAATTGAGTTCCCATTAAAGCTTCGTTTAAAAAAAGAAAAGGAAAAAGGAACATGGGGTTCCTAGGATTTTGTTGTCATTACATGTTTAAATAATTGTAGAGGGAGTAAAAAAAAAATCCACATCATACTCTTCATTTGAAAAAAGCCCCAACTAAATAGCAAAAAAATCATGAAGAAGGCGCATTCAGTTCATTTCACATGATGAATGGTTTTGCACAGCAAAGCTGGAAAACTGCGTTAGAAACGTATTACTTGGATGAGAAGGACATTTTCTGTCATTGACCCGAGCAGTGTCGGGAGGACGCTCCTGAGCTTGATGTTGTCAGCTCCAGTTTTAAGAAGTGCAATTTCTTTGGCTTCAGCAGAACACTGATGCAAAACTGAAGTACCGCAGCGGCTTGCACACGCAGCTCCTCGGGACTTTGGTAGAGCCTGTGCTTATTGCCTAGATGGAAACGTAGCCCCACAGATGATCTAATCCCACCCGTTGACTCAGCGCAGAGGAGGAGGTATGTTAGACTTCTGATTTATTTAGTGAGTTGAGATGAACAAATGAAAAATCTGTCCTGCTAACACTTGCTTGAGCCAGACTTACTCCAGTGAGAAGATGCACTGAACTCAGTGAAACTCCTCAGGGTAGTAAATACTCTGGATTTTGTTGTATACGGCAGCAAAATTAGTTTTATCAGGTTCAGTATGAGAACTGTATTTTTGTTGGACAGGAAAGGAGACAAGGATGAACACATTTTAAGAAACTTAAAAACATTTTTGCAATTCTCTACTATGGGAACGCAGCTCAAAACTGGTTTTGAAGCTTTGAAAAAGTGGAATAGGAGATAGCATAGTTGTCCAACTATACTCACTATGCGCTGGACGCAGCTGAAAATTCGGTTTGGGTTTGGAGTTTTTCTCTAAATTGAAGTAAAAAACTTTATTTCTGTAAGTCATTACCCCAAGATCAAATACTTTTTTTTACTTTTTTTTCTTCCTCAAAATGCACTGATAGTATTTGAAATACTCTATTATAAAGGTCCTACAATTTTTTTTTCTTTTGTTTATTAGGCATGTATTTCCCTTCAATTACCAAGGGTGTTAGGCCTGATTCTACAATGTGCAGAACTCATGTGAAATTCCCCTCTACAGAGTGGGTAATGTGAGTCCTAAGCACCGCTCGGGTCTGATGTAAATCCCCCTCGAATGATGTTTAGATGGGTCTGCAACAGCTCAAGGACTTTGTGCCAGAGGCCTTGTCACGACGAGGTAATTGCCACTGTCTGAGCAAAGTCCCTGAGAACTGGTGGGAAATGTTCAGCACCTGGAAAGATCAGACCCAAGGGGTTGACTGGGGCTGAAGGGGAATCTTAGCACTTAGCTGGGTGGGGTAGGACAGCATTTTTTATGTGTTTAGCATCAATACTATTGTATGGTTGGCACGGTTTAAAGGAGAAAAAACAAGGAACTTAAAGGACAGCTGTGTTGTACTTTGGTGATCGATTACTCTGTATTTTAACACATTGTATGTCTGTTTTTGTGGTGCTCTAGTGGTAAATAAATTATTTCAATTATATGCTGGTGTTGCTTTCATATGGCAGCGTTCTACTGGTGTAGGTAATTCCTCAGCTCTGGCTCAGCTTAATCCCTGCAAAGCCTGATTAGGTGTGTGATTTTAGCGTCTGTGACCTTGACGTGGGCCAGCACAGGCCGAGGTGAAGAACAACCATCCAGGGTGAACGTGAATCATGACTGCTCTGAGGGTTGCTTTCCCCATAGCCGCTGCAGTATATGTCTTGGTCTATAGGCAAGAAGTGGCTTCTGGTTGACTGCTCTGAGCAGCAGCGCTGTCCCATGTGTGTGCAGGACAGGTACTGCCCTGGGCAGGAGCGGTGTTGCCCCACGGCCCCACTGTGCCTGATCCTTCACCAGAACCATGCCCTGGCAGTCCTGTTACTGCAGGCACCACTTTTGGGGGCTTTCCTCTCTGATAGAGGATCTCAAAGTAGGTTTTTCCTCATTTCTGTAGTGCTGTGGGAGGTGAGAAGGTGATCTGTGTCATGATGCCCATACACTAAATGGTCCCATGCCTTTGCGTCCTTCAGTAGAGCTCAGTGAAACTATTGGTTTTGTATGTTGTACAGTATAGTCTACAATGGGATGAGACGGGGTACTGGAGGAGAGGCAACAGACACAAGTTGGAACATGGCAAATTCTGGCTTCATGACAGGAAAATACTTTTACAGTGGAGGTGGCCAAGCTGTGGAACAGGTTGCCCAGAGAGGGCATGACATTGGAAGTGCTCAAAACCAGCTGGGCCAGGCTCCAGGCAGCCTGCTCCCACTGTGCCTGCTCTGAGCAGGAGGTTGGGCAGGAGACCCCGCAGAGCCCTCCCCACCCCCATGAATCTACGAACAGTGGTGGTCCAACCCAACCACTATTTCTGTGACTAGCTAAAAGAGCACAAGAAATGCTGGTGCTCAACTGCCTCAGCTATTTCAATTTGGCAGCAACAGCCACGTAGCCACGTGGAAGTGGTTTTTTTGACAGAAAATAGGATTCCCTAGTTTGTTGTGAGTCTCTCTCCATGCACTCTGCAATATGCAATTGCATTATCTAAGCAAATAAGAATTAAGGAGCCTGGTATTGCAGCTTTTCTTTATCAGACTTTCTGCAGCTCTAGTCACTTAAATAAATAAAACTGATGGGAGGAAGGGCTGCAGGATTGAATCATTACTTTTAAAGTTGATAAAATCATATATGAAAATGCTTCCAGACCAGGGACTGATGATGAGAAGGGGTGAACATCTGCTCCTCCTGGTGCCTTCTCTGGCATCTAAGGGGTGCATAGCATTTCTTGGCATGAATGAAAGAATATGTTTATGCCAGATTGTTTAGTGTTGTTGTGATAAATTATAACAAATGGACCCTGTGGTCTGTGAATATGTGTTTAAGAATGCAACTTGGGATGAGCATTAAAAACAATCTAGGGGCCATTTCACCACAGTTACACTCCAGCCTTACAGTGATCTGTCTTAATTGATTTCAGTGCCTTTATACTAGCATAAAACTATGGTCCTGCAAAAACTGCCAGATACTGACTTTCGTTCTAACTATTTTTAGTTACCCAGCTATGTGCTTTGACATGAAAGTAATCTGTCAGCCCCGTTCTTATCCAAGGTAGCCCTCACGCAGTGAGGTGAGAATACTTTGCAATTCTGTCTGCTGTATTTCTGAAATCAGTGAAGAACAGGAGGGTTTAAGGAGGAATCTTGATTGGAAATTTTAGACAGGAAAGTGGTTGTGGTGCCTATAACTAAAGAGGAACAAAGTGGAGGGAACACAGTGTGCTAAGAGAGATTTTATAGCGTGGGGCTGAAAAGATGGAAGCTCTCCCACGATAATGAGATTTATGCAGAATATTTTGATGCTGGGTTTGTCTTTTCCTTTCACTAACACAGCCTCTCCAGACTG